ACTGGAAATTGGCATGACTGCCACATCAAGGGACTCCACATTAGGTGGGTTCATCTAGGTCCTTCTGAAAGCTTAAAAAGATTGCGAAAACGAGGCTAAGCAACTTCTCTACAGTGAACGGAGACTGCCATCAAAGTAAACGCCATACTATCCTGGTCTTCACACCTTTGCTTATCTATGCTAAGAGTATATTAGTTTATTAGGCTCCAGTAATATCTCTGTCTAATGAGAGATGAAGTTATATGATTAAAGGTCGGATGCGGATAGATCGCGTTGACAGGCCTTATTTCGGCAACCCCTTTTTAATATAAGAAATATGTACCAGTCTTTGCAGATACCTCTTATATTTAAGGTACCTTCATACATGGTACATGGCATAGGTCGCATGGGGAGAAGTCATGTCTTTATTGACCTTACTCTATCAGCTAGATTTATACAAAGTACATCCCATATTACTTGGGCCGATTATATCTCCCTTGTCATTTAGAAATTGGCTTCAAAATTACCTCTATTATTTGTGGGCACGCCGATCGTAAGTCACTCATTAACGATCATCGGTTTTCCTGGCCCCAACTTTGCATCGCTGGTGCACTATTCAGACACAAAGAGGGAATATGAAATTTAGAGACATGAAGGTAAGCTAGGTTTCAAAGAGTCCATTAGTAAATTGCAACTCACATGCCTTTCATTTCGTTTGGGAAGGCGAATTGAAGGAATTTACAGATTGACTGCCCCAGATACAGAAGGATGGTTGCCTTGGGCATTTGTCTGCTGAATTGTGCTCACCGTCATACGATCTCAATGATTCAGTGTTAAGCTTTTGTCCGTCATGTGACGGAAATCGTAAGAGCCAGAAACCATTATTCATGAACAATCACTAGTCCTCAGGGTTGTAGGACAGCGAGGCGAGCTCTTCTTCGCACAATTCAACAGACAAAAGTCCAAGGCAACCCTCCTTCGGTATCCGGTGAAGCCACTCTGCGAATCCATTCTACCAGCCTTCCCAACCAAGATGAAATTTTTGTAAGTATCGATGTGAAATTGAAGCTTCCCTTTTAATCCCAGATGAAATTGGCTAACAGATATGGTTTTATCGGGCTACATCAAGCCTCGCTTGAGAAAACTTTGAGAAAGCAAAATCATTTCCATATTCAAATAAAACGAATGACGCCATTGTGCTTTTATTAGGATATTTTGGGACAAGTTGAGTTATCCTACGGATGGATGTCTAAATGGATGACGGTGAACTCGAGTGAGGCAAATACATCGAGTTTTCACGATCTACACATGAAGAACCAGCAGTATTTACTACAGCATGAATTGCTGCTCCAACATCCCTCTCCGGCTTTCTTGCAACTTTCATTTATCTCCTTTCCCTTTTCATTTGCTTCATCATCCTTGGTCTTCTCCTTTGCGTTCTCTTCTTCTTTTTTATTCTTCTCTTCCTTCTTCCTATGTTTTGTCTCCTTCTTTTTGTTAGTCTCTTCTTTATGCTTATGTCTACCTCGATCCATAAATTTTGAATCATCCTTGCGCTTAAATTCGACTACTTTTTCTTCTTCCTCCTCCAGAAATTGCTCAAGTGCCTCCTCTACAGTGGAAAAGTTAAAAACGTATCGTTACCAATACGACTGGTATGAAAGATACGTGGTGACCAGACAGAATGAGAGGTTAAAGGAGTTTTATATTGGACTCCGCAACTTGGTGTCAGGAATAACCCAAAGAGCATACCTCGTGATTACTTGCAGCATCGGACCTTTGATTTGGCTAATTTCCTGATATCCCGCTATCTTAACAGTTGGTACTACACGTTCCATATCAACGGTTCGATGTTGCCAGAAATTATGACTGGTAATGCGAGAGACGCA